AAGACTCTGAAGATAGCTGCACTTCGTCTTCAAGATATAGAGGATTACAAATGTTCCATCGTGAACCTTCAGAGACTTCATCATCACCACACTGAGGACCCAAACCTCCCTCGCCGCATTTCATTGGGGTGGTGCCGCGCCGCCAATGCAGCACTGTGTAGTTACCCAACAGTACATTTGTAATTGTAGCACCAAAAAATATATAAAAGGATGGCAGTATTACAACGTCCCCTACCTCTGGAATGAAAATTCCGGACAGCATAATAAGCATCACAAACGTATCCAGAAAGGAAAATTTACCAACATAGTCAATTATACGGAGAATTCGCGCATGAGGTCGCTGCAACACAAGTGCAAACAACAGCATACAGGTTAGTTTAACGTAGGGATAGATGCAACTGAATAGAAATACAAGCACAGAAAGCGGCTGCATCCCGGTATCCCACAAGTCCCTCACAGTGTTCATTAACGTGAAGCCGTAAATATGCAACTCACCGCCCAGAGAAACATACACAGCCGTAGTGAGATTGGACCATAGGAATGCACCGGCACATGCAAAGCAGCTGATGGACAGTAGCATATCCTCGAGAATGATACGCACAACAGAGACGGGCTTCAAGGTTCCCTGGTGAACTACAGGTCTCACCCGATGCCGCATGACATTTAATATTACCAAGTACACAGTGGCAAGCGCACTGCCAATAATGTAGACCACCACAATCAGAAATGAGGGGTATGAAACAATCGACACTTTATCGGGTATGGGTATGTAATAACGTTTATCATCTCTACCACCCTTGTCAGATGCGCTATCCACCACACCCGCAAATGCGGTAGACCCAGTGTCCTTGGGAACGCTTTCGATTGGGTTGGCTATAAAGGTATTGAGCTTTTTGCTTAAAAAGTTTGAAGCCAAAGAGCTCATTTTGATGTTGAACAGACGACCCATATCACCTGCATTGCTTACTCGTAGATTACTCACATTGAAAGCATCTATAGCGCGAACACTATAATTGTATGTGTTCGGTTCACAACGCAGGTCATTTAATGTCAAGTCTAATGAAAATCCAATTCCAGCAGGAAGTACCATGATTGCTTTCGCTTCATCTAACGTCACTCCAATGACAGGCGAGTGAAGATTCAGCTCTGCAAAAACTTCTGGCTGACCAAACACCTGACGAAGGAGTCCCACTATACCATCTAGACTGGGTTTCCAAATCGAATCGAGATTCAGAACTCCATTCGCGGGGGCACCGCTTTGTGATTCCCCCTGGTTCCCGAAGACATGCATGGTGATACTCCGATCCATCATGTTTGTAACGTTTAGGCGAAGAGTGTTAGTGTAGGGGTCATCCAAAAAATCGATGCTGATCGAGAAATTCAGAACATTGTTGATCCTCAGCACGATGTTACGTGCTGCCCTGAACAGTTCGGCATCACGAAGCGCGATGGCACCAGGGACTTTGTCTGGTGGGGGCAAGAGAGGTTTTATCATGTTGTCCATCAAAACATCCTTGATTTTCGGAGCGATATTGGAGCAAACATATTTTCTCAAGTATTTTTTAATGGCAGATTCAAATAGAGATATTAACCTAGTAATTATAGAATTTGGTTTGAATTGAATTTTATGGGTAATCATAACAAAATTACATTGGTCTATATCAGCAACTGTTGATTCACAGGCCGACCTTTGCTTTCCGTTCTTCGTGCTGATGTTAAGAATGGAATTCGATTTTAGATCTGCCTCGGTTGTAATCGTGGAAAAACTACTTTCAATGAGATTCACTGTACATGTTGCATACATGGGTGTGAAAATTTCTACACTTTTGGTCGAACTCGTAAAGGTTGCCTTCATCTCATGTACAAATAAATGTTTGAACGAGATATCATGAATGTTTAAAAGAGT